CACTAACCACTCGGATGTCTAATTTAGTTGTTTTGCAGTCAAATACTGGATTTGTAACCTTCAGGGCGCTGACATGCTGCGGCAGTTTGGCTTCATCGGGAGAATAGGAACAGGTAGACACAATCCAAGGCTAAATCTGGTCGTGTCGCCACTGCTCTCATAATGACACCATGCAGTAAGAAGAATTTTGGAAGGGGATTCAGTAAACCCAAATGAAATTGTGACAGGATGTTTGTATGGTTAACATCTGATATCAGAATGTAAAAGTGCCTTCTGTCTTAAATCTCAAACCAAATATTTTTGTGTGTTGACCTTGGGCAGAAGTGTCCTGCCCTCCTGTCTTCACCGTCAGGTAGAAAACCCGCACTCTGCAAGAGGGTCCTGTGTGGATCATTTCACTCCTCCGGTTGGGAAGCAGCGGCATAATGTTTTGCTTCCAATTGATTAATCATTTTATGTTAAAACAGTCAATGAGACCAGTACCTCTTGAGTGCTTTATTTGCCTTCTCTTTGAAGGGGAGGACAGGCCTCTGCTCTGTAAATTCAATGTGTAGGGTCAGCAACAATTCTGTAGGCTTCCAACCTGTCCAGGAATGACGGGCAACGTAGGTCTTCTGGCCCGAGGCAGGTATCAAGCCTGAATTGTAATGAACTTTTCACCAGTTTCAACCAGTTTCTTAAAAGATAGCTTAACTCAAGATTTCATCAAGACTTGTGTTTTCCCATGAATGTGAATCTTTCAATGGCTGTTGGAGTATGGATGTACTGTTCTTGTATTCTGAAGTAGTTAAAGAACTCTAGAAAGCACTGATTGGCCGTCTGGTACCTATGGAGAAAGAAGTCCTCACGTTTGAGGGCTGTACAGCGAGGCCGTCTTATAGCAGCGCGTCCAGCTCTACCAAGGCAGTCCTCTGGTTCTTTTCTCTAAGCTACAGTGGAAATGGCCTAATGGTTAAAACTGTGGTACACATAACACCGGTTGTGCTAAACAAGTTCCTCGTGTCCCAGGATCCAATGGTTTTTCATCCTATTTTGTATCAATCAGCAGAGTATAGTTAAAGCTTGTCTTGATGTTGCATTCTTGCAAATGTCTTCAACTCTTACCTGAGAAAACATGGGAAAATGGTCAGCCAGACCCTTTCAGTTTTTCCTTTGCTTTTCTAAGGCTCGGGGAAACCACTGTTTCAGTTGTATAAATTTTTTTTTGCCACATTCTTATGGCCCAATTGAATTAATACCTTTTTTCCTCACTGAGAGAGGAACACGTACTGCCTGTCATAACAGCATTGTAATGCCAGTGTCTCAGTAAGTAACAGAACCCTGGTGGTGTTTATTGGGTGTTTTTTGCCCTGGAGAATTCAGATTCCCTTCTATACCTTCTATTCTGCCCAGAAGAGGGGGGAATCACCAGTGTTATAAAATTAGAAGATTGTTTTGCCTGTTTTAGACTGAATATTTGAACACTGCAGCATTACTAGCCATCAGTGTTAAAGGACAGATGAGGGGAAACATTTGTTTTTAGCAGTAATTCCATGATTCATCTTTTTTAAGTAATTTGTTCCAAATGAAGCCATTTATTGACTTGATGCTCACAAATATCATTTGAAGAAATAAGACGAATTGGGGTTAGATGATAAATTCTAGGGAATCTGGGTGATTTGGGGGATTTCATTTGGTTTTGCATTACAGCTAGTTGCTCTCAGTAAAAGTAAATTTCTGGTGAAATAACTCAGGTTTAACTGGCTGTGTGCCCAGAATCACTGTTCCTTTACACATGTGTCCTCTCCTTAAATTCATTACTTTCAAATGATGTTCAAAGCATTGACTGTTTTCATTCAAAGAGGACCAAGACTACAGTGAAATTAAAACTATTTGCTGGCCGGGCATGGTGGCTCACACCTGTAATCCCAGCACTTTGGGAGGCCGACGCAGGTGGATCACCTGAGGTCAGAAGTTCAAAACCAGTTGACCAACATAGTGGAACTCTATCGCTACTAAAAATACAAGTTAGTTGGGCATGGTGGCAGGCACCTGTAATGCCAGCTACTCTGGAGGCTGAGGCAGGAGAATTGCTTGAACCCAGTAGGCGGAGTTTGCAGTGAGCCATGATTGTGCCATTGCACTCCAGCCTGGGCAATGAGTGAAACTCTGTCTCAAATAAAAAATAAATAAAAACTATTTGTTGACTATTGTTTTTCATTTAGTTTTTGAAAAGACTATTGGCAAAAGGCAAAAGTACAGAGTTATCTTCAGCAGTTTCTTCGTAACTTAGATTGGTACCAAGAGTGACAGGAGATCTTGTCTTGAAAATCAATATTAGACAGATGCCAACAAAGAGACCCTCTGTGACTTCTGGTAACCTATTTGGGGAGACGACCTAATGACCTATTATACAGTTTCTGTCTTCATGTCTTTTCCTCCAACACACAAGCATTGGTGAAACATTTCAGACACCTCAGGCAGCACTTACGGTTTCTAATTGTGACAACTACCCTTCCATCAAACAAAAAAGGCAAGGGTGGGAGCCCCAGCTACTTGGCTAAACATTTTTTTACTACAAATTCACCTAGAAAAGGTGAAATGTTTTGTTATAAAACTGTATTAGGCATGACCTAAGTATTAGGTGTATGATCTGTCTAGAATGTTCCATGAGAAAGATTTCTTACTAGTGCTTTAAGCTCCAGAGTAAACATTCATTTAAAATGGAGTTCAGTGGGCAGGTTTCCCCTTTAATCTAGATAGAAATACTCTTTATCAGAGATTTAAGGCGCCGTTTTGCTAACTGGTAAATAAAACCAAATGTAAATATGTAAGAATGTTTATTTGTTGCACATAACTTTTTTGGTATAAAATAAATGTAGAAGTTACCTGTGGAAGTTGTGCTCCCATTATTCTTAAACTGCAGGGTTGCATTCCAAAAAAGAAGCTGAAACGAGGTCTTTTTAGACTCGGTAGGAGCCTTATATTCTTGAAGTCAATACTGTAACCTCATTTCTAAGGTATACAGGGTTGATTCTTTTTCTCTTAAATCATACGTAACTTGCAGAAGATTCAGAGTCCTCAGACCTCTAGATCTTGGAATTCCTGTGGGTTTATGATGTATGTGATTGTCAAGAATTAATGACAAAATGTGTCACTGCCTACTGTTCTGTGAACACTCAGAATGTATTAATGAGCTGTTTTTCCATAGTTTTACTTTAGCTTACCTTAAATACTCCATGTATAATCCTCTAAAAAGGTAGCATCGGCAAGAAAGATGAATCCGTTGGAAATACAGCTGAGCTATCCTTCATGGACTAGAACAAGTGTGTTCTGTGCTGGAGCTTAAGACCTGTGGAAAGGGGCACTGCCCCCACCGGGCGCAATGGCTCATGCCTGTAATCCCAGCACTTTGGGAGGCAGAGGTGGGTAGATCACTTGAGGTCAGGAGTTCAAGACCAGCCTGGCCAATATGGTGAAAGCCTGTCTCTACTAAAAACCCAAAAAAACTAGCCAGGATTGTGGCATGTGCCTGTAATCCCAGCTATTCAGGAGGCTGAGGCAGAAGAATTGCTTGAACCCGGGAGGAGGTTGCAGTGAGACGAGATCATGCCACTGCACTGCAGCCTGGGCAACAGAAGAAGACTCCATCTCAAAAAAAAAAGGACTACCCCTAATTTGTAAACCATTTAGATGTGTCTACTACATTTAACTTTTCTTAATGTTTGTCAACTTTTATTCATTATATCTTGACATACTGGAACACAAAACTTGATTCCTTTGAAAACTAAAGAGAGGTTGATAAAAAATATACAAGCCCTAGATTCTTAATTGGAACTGACTACACTCTCATTTTTTAAAAATGGACTGACGATGCCTAATAAAACCAGGCGAAATTAACTTTATTCTTTCTTTCATGGAGCTTGCACAGGAAAGCTAAAAAGGAGGGTCTGTGTGGAGACAGGGGGCTCAACCACAAGAGAGGGGGAAATCAAGTTCTATAGCAAGAACCATACTGGAGGCCGGGCACGGTGGCTCATGCCTGTAATCCCAGCACTTGGGGAGGCTAAGGCGAGCGGATCACCCGAGGTCAGGAGTTCAAGACCAGCCTGGCCAACATGGCAAAACCCCGTCTCTACTAAAAATATTTTAAAAAATTTAGCTGGGAGTGGTGGCAGTTGCCTGTAGTTCCAGCTACTTGGGAGGTTGAGGCAGGAGAATTGCTTGAACCCCGGAGGTGAAGGTTGCAGTGAGCCGAGGTTGCACCACTGCACTCCAGCCTGGCCGACAGAGCAAGACTGTCTCAAAACAAACAAAACAAAACTGTATTGGTTCACTGTCTTTCAACTGACTGGACAGCAAAAGGAATATTTTTCCAAAGAATATACTTCAAATCAGAACTGATGCACCATCCTTGCCTTACTGGAGCCCGTGAAGAGAGGGAGGAGAGAGTCCTTAAGCAAAGACTGTGCTCTGGGAGGGGGTAGGTGGCGTCATTTCGGGGTGTAAAGCCATGGAATGCTGATTTGTAGGCAGAGTTGTTTAATGAGGTCTTGTCACACTCGGTGGCATCCGTTATGATAAAGCCAATGGGCGTTTACACTCATCTGCCCATTTCTGTTAAGACCCTATGGCTGAGGTCAGAACGATGTCCTGGGAGAACCAGTTACCTCTAACCTTCCAGTTCAGACACTGCCAGCTTAACTATGTGGAAACTGGCTCACAGACCCTGCTAAGTGCTGCAGCATGACAGCGTTCCTATGAATTTGTTGGTACATGAGGGACTTTAGCTCATCTGAGGAGTCGAACAGCAGCTGTGAAAGTCTTCTACTCCCTGTCGAGGCTGGCCTGGTTTGCTACACAAACACGGTAGCCCTAGGACCATGGGGCTATTTCTGCAGATGCCCTCTGGAACCAGCTGCTCTGAACATGGTGGGGGTGTTGGAGCAGCAGTTTCTCCAAAGTCCACACATAGTTAAGGCTCTGAAAACAGCGCGACGCACAGAAATGACTTCAGATGGTTTTCAGTAGCCACTTTCATGCCAACTCTTTATTTCCATACTAGAAAATCTTTTATTTCCACCTTGTGTTCCCTGCTAGCACAGATGACCATAAAACCCAGGCCAGAAATGTTCTGGTCTGCCATGAACAGTCCAAGAGGCACTTGTTCTGCTGCTATAGGTCACCCTGACTTGGGGAGGAAGGGACACACAGGTGGTGTCAGTCTTGCTCAAGTAAACGGGCTGTTTTCCAAACACTGTGACTTGGCTATTGAGTAGGGATACCTGGTTTCATTGGCAATCTTCCAGTATCTCTCTCGCAAAAGGAACGCTGCACTTTTTGGTTGTCTCTGCCGAGTGAAGACCCCCTTTTTATTACCCAGCACTCTCGTCGGTGCTAAAAAAAAAAAAAAAAAAAAAGACACAAAGCGATTCAGATGACTTCTGATGGGTCAAGTTAGAACCACACTGGAACCAAGGTAGGCACTACATAGAAATGTCTTGTTTTTCTTTTGAGATGATCTCACTGTCCCCCAGGCTGGAATGCGGAGACACAATCATAGCTCCCTGTGGCCTCAACCTCCTGGGCTCAGGCGATCCTCCGCCTCAGCCTCTCAAGCACCACCATGCCCGACTAATTTTTTTTTTTTTTTTTAAGTAAAGACAAGGTCTCATTATGTTGCCCAGGCTGGTCTCAAACTACTAGGCTCAAGCAATCTGCCCTCCTCAGCCTCCCCAAAGTGCTGGGATTATAAGCACGAGCCACCATGTTCAGCCAAATGTCCTCTTATAGTTTCAGGATGCTTGCTGTGAAGTGACAATTTATGGGTTGAAATATTTAAATACCACTGCTCTGCCCAACACTCAGGTTTCCTGATGTGTTAATTCCTAGTTTTCTACTCTGTGAGGGGAAAAACCCAGAACAGTGGCTGGGTGTGGTGGCTCATGCCTGTAATCCCAGCGCTTTGGGAGGCTGAGGCAGGTGGATCACCTGAGGTCAGGAGTTCGAGACCAGCCTGGCCAATGTGAGGAAACCCCGTCTCTATTAAAAATAAAAATATTGGTCGGGCACAGTGGCTCATGCCTGTGTAATCCCAGCACTTTGGGAGGCCAAGGCAGGCAGATCACAAGGTCAGGAGTTCAAAACCAGCCTGGACAATATGGTGAAACCTCATCTCTACTAAAAATACAAAAATTATCCGGGCATGGTGGTGGGTGCCTGTAGTCCCAGCTACTCAGGAGGCTGGAGCAGGAGAATTGCTTGAACCCAGGAGGCAGAAGTTGCAGTGAGCTGAGATCGTGCCACTGCACTCCAGCCTGGGCGACAGAGTGAGACTCCATCTCAAACAAACAAAAAAAAAGCACCAAAAGTTTATCTTTTACTTGCAAAAATAAGGTTTACATGCTGGCTTCCCAGCTGTCTGGTAACTAGGTAGGCAGAGAGTTGTGGGTATCTGGGACAGTTACCCTTGAAAAGGCTTGGGTCTTTCTGAAGAGATAGCACCTAGTGGGAGCCAGGGTCCTGACCAGCCACAGGTGCCTGCGTGGGACCTACTCATGGAGTTCAAAGTCCTTTGGGGCAGGGCCGATGTTCAGCTTGTCAGCACCCACCACCAGTGGTCATCAGGCCTGAGCTGAGGCTGGTGGGAAACACAGCTGGCAAAGACCCGTCAGGGCTGTGCTCTCAGGACATTCTCTGTCCCCAATGAGACGACCACTAAATGGAAATGTTAAATGCAAAGGAGGCCTTCCCCACCAAAAGGTTCAAAACTGTTTCTTCCACAAGTGAACACAGGCACCGCCAAGTACTTCATCAGATGCAGCCCTTACAACACCCACAAGGTGGCGGCATTATCCCCACTGGACAGGCTTATGATAAGCTTAGGCGACTTGCCCATCGTGATGCAGCTCATTTCTTTTTTCTAAGATCGAGTCAGCTGGCCACAATGGCTCACGCCTGTAATCACAGCACTTTGGGAGACCCAGATGCATGGATCCCCTGAGGTCGGTAGTTCAAGCCCAGCCTGACCAACATGGAGAAACCCTGTCTCTACTAAAAATACAAAATTAGCCAGGTGTGGTGGCGCATGCCTGTAATGCCAGTTAATTGGGAGGCTGAGGCAGGAGAATTGCTTGAACCTGGGAGGTGGAGGTTGCAGTGAGCTGAGATAGCACCACTGCACTCCAGCCTGGGAAACAAGAGCAAAACCCCCTCTCAAAAAAAAAGACTCTCACTTTATTGCCCAAGCTACAGTACAGTGGTCTGATCTTAGCTCAGTGCAATCTCCATCACCCAGGTTCAACCGATTCTCATGCCTCAGTCTCCCAAGTGGCTGGAATTACAGGCATGTGCCACCATGCTCGGTTAATTTTGTATTTTTAGTAGAGACGGGGTTTCTCCATGTTGGCCAGGCTGGTCTTAAACTCCTGACCTTAGGTGATCTGCCCACCTCAACCTCTCAAAGTGCTGGGATTACAGGCGTGAGCCACTGCGCCCAGCCTGCAGCTCATTTCTTATCACATAAAGCCTCACGCCTCTCCACAAAACTGCCATCACGGATGTCCCCAGAAACCATTTATTGCAGGTGCCACGCAGAGGACAGCTTCCTGTTCTCCTTTTCCCTTTCCCTCTTCCTTCTCACCTCATCTTGTTCATTCATTCATCCCTTTTCCACTCTCACTTTTAAGCTTTAACCTTTCAAAGGCCTGTCTTCCCCTGTAAGTAATATAATTCCCACCATTACCATATCCTTCTCCAACCCACCAAACTGCCATCCTGAGTTTACAGTAAGTCCATAAACTAAGAAATGGGACACATTCATTGCGAACATGGCAGCCCCTCATCTGTCCCCATGTGAGAACACAGATCTTATTCTCTTTGAAGACCAATTTTGTTTTTTAAACACAGGTCTCGCTCTGTTGCCCAGGCTCTCGTGCAGTGGTGCAATCACAGCTCACTGCAGCCTCCAACTCCTGTGCTCAGGTGATTCGCCTGCCTCAGCTTCCCAAGCAGCTGGGACTACAGGCACACACCACCATGCCTAGCTAATTTGTTTTTGTAGAGATGGGGTCTTGCTATACTGAACAGGCTGGTTTTGAACTCCTGGCCTCAAGCGATCCTCCCAGCTTGGCCTCCCAAAGTTTTGGGATTATAGGCATAAGCCACCATGCCCAGCCTAAAGACTTTTAAATGCTGCCTCATTCAAGATGCGTTGAAACTCACCTGTATTCACTTTTGCAAGTGAGTAATGTACAACAGCCTGAAATACCTTAAGCTTCTCAGGCTTTGTACCCTACTATGGAATAATGAGTGTTTCCCAAAAGTAAATCCATAATGAGGTCCCGTTTTCCCTTCCTCCTTGGCTATGAAATTGACAAGAACAAGGCAAGCTAGCCATTTCCGTCTCACCATAGCTGACTCTCCTGTTTGCTTTTTGACTACATTTGGGAGGCGGGGGCCTGACTGCTTTCCTACTTCTTAAGCACAACTTACTTTTCCTACGAAATTCTCAATGCAACCTACATGGATTAAACCAGCTTCCCCACTGTTTCCAATATTCTTACAATCGAAATGGCCAGCATTGGCAAGGCAACCTGAAAAAATAAGGACGGGTACCTTATCCCATGAGCCAAACTGCCACTTACACTGTTCAGTCATGAAATCGGCAAAATTCCAGATGAGCTCTCCAACCACGTACTTTCTGCGTTTTTGATCCAGAACCACATGGTACTGCTCTAGCAGACTCTTCTGGTACTCTTCAGTGAACATCAGAGGCGGGTCCTGGCATTCAACGCAAAGAGAATAAGAGTCAGAACTGGCAGAATTGTAAAGTTAGATAAAAATAAAGATCCACTTGATGGTGACCAAAATATCTGTCCTCGCAGGGGGCTATAGTGACTGCAGGACTCACTGATGCTGGGGTAAAGACAGCCAGGGAATGATGTAACCCAGAATAAAAAAGGAGGTTTAAAGAAAAAGATAACCTTAATGAGCAACTGCTTTATTTATGAATGTAATTTGATACTCACTTTACATTACTTTTCTGCCTCTATCTGCTGGTACAATCTTAAAGCTAACCTACACTACCAGTACAAATATGTCTTTGGGCCAGTTGCAGTGGTTCATACCTGTCATCCCAGCACTTTGGGAAGCTGAGGTAGGCGGACTGCTTGAGCCCAGGAGTTCAAGACCAGCCTGGGCAACACATCAAGACCCCATCTCTATGAAAAATACAAAAATTAGCCAAGCCTGGTGGCACACATCTGTGGTCCCAGCTACTTGGGAGGCTGAGGTGGGAGGACTGCTTGAGCCCTGGAGATCGAAGTGGCAGTGAGCTGTGTTCACACCACTGCACTCCAGCTTAGGTGACATAGTGAGACCTTGTCTCTAATATATATATGTATATTAATTAAATTAAATTAAACTAAACTAAACCAGGTTGGGCATGGTAGCTCAGGTCTCTAATCCCAGCACTTTTGGAGGTCGAGGCAGGAGGATCACTTGAGCCCGGAGTTCAAGACTAGTCTAGGAAACACAGTGAGACCCAGTCTCTACAAAAAGCCTAAATATTAGCCAGGCGTGGTGGCGCACGCCTGTGGTTCCAGCTACTTTGGGGGCTAAGGAGGGAGGGTCGCTTGAGCTCAGGAGGGTGAGCAGTGAGCTGTGACTATGCCACTGCACTCCAGCCTGGGCAACAGAGTGAGGCTGTCTCAAAAACATTGTTTTTAATTAAACTAAATCAATTCAGTTATCCTAGTCATATATCAAGACTTCAATAGCCATGTGTAGCTAGTGTGTACCATTTCAGACAGTGCAAATGTAGAACATTTCCATCATTGCAAGAGTTTTTTTTTGTTGTTGTTGTTTTGAAACAAGGTCTCACTCTGTCACCCAGGTGGGAGTACAGTGGTGCAATCATGGCTGCCTCGACCTACTGGGCTCAATCTTCCCACCTCAGCCTCCCAAGTAGCTTGAACTACAAGCACTCACAACCATGCCCAACTAATTTTAAATTTTTTGTAGAGATGGGGTCTGTGTTACGCAGACTGGTCTCAAACTCCTGGGTTCAAGAGATCCTCTGACCTTGGCCTCCCAAAGTGCTAGCATTCCAGGTGCGAGCCACCAGGCCCAGCACTGCAGAGGTTCTATCAGCACTGACCTAGACCCTCTCAAGAGTTTCTTAAGAGTTTAGAGCTGGGACTTGGCATGGTGGCTCATGCCTGTAATCCCAGCACTTTGGGAGGCCAAGGCGGGTGGATCACTTGAGGTCAGGAGTTCAAGACCAGCCTGACCAACATGGTGAAACCTCATCTCCACTGAAAACACAAAATTAGGTAGGCATGGTGGTGCATGCCTGTAATCCCAGCTACTCGGGAGGCTGAGGCACGAGGATCGCTTGAACCTAGGAGGTGGAGGTATGTGAGCCAAGATTGCACCACCACACTCCAGCCTGGGCGACAACAGCTAAACTATGTCGAAAAAAAAAAAAAATTCAGAGCTATTTACCTTTTCAAAAAGGATGAGCATGGCATTCTATAAGCATGATAAATTTAAGGGTGCAAACAAAACAGCACAGTCCACTGTGGGTGGCTATTCCCTGTGTGTCAACGGGAGTCCCAGGAGCTGTGACAAACAAGTGTGAGCTGGCTGGGGAGGGTACGAGGGGCTGGACGGGGTTCAGGAATCCACAAGAAAAAAATAACCTCACAAGACAAACCAACATATCTTTGGTGAGGAGGACAAAAAATGAGATGGATTAAAAACATGGGGACAGGCCGGGCATGGTGGCTTATGCCTGGATTCCCAGTACTTTGGGAGTCCAAGGCAGGAGAATCACATGAGGCCAGGAGTTCCAGACCAGCCTGATAGCGAGAGTCCATCTTTACAAAAAAAATTAAAAATAGGCTGCCCATTGTGGTGATTCCTGTAGTACCAGCTACTCAGGAGGCTGAGGCAGGGGAATCGCTTCAGCGCAGGAGTTCAAGGGTGTAGTGAGCTATGATGGCACCACTGCATCCCAGCCTGAGCAACACAACAAGACCCTGCAAAAAAAAAAAAAAAAGGAAAAAAAAAAGGAAAAGGTTAACGCAGTGGACACGCCTATTAATCCCAAGGCGTGGGGAAAAGGGAAGAGAGATCAGCCTGTTACTGTGTCTATATAGAAAGAAGTAGACATAAGAGACTCCATTTTGTTCTGTATTTGAGATGCTGTTAATCTGTGACCCTACCCCCAACCTTGTCCTTGCAAGAGACATGTGTTTGCGGTGACTCAAGTTTAATGGATTTTGGGCCTGTGCCAGGATGTGTCTTTGCTGGTAAACAAATGCCTGGAAGGTTAGCCTTGCTGGTTAAAAGATTATCACCATTCTCTTAATTT